TAGATACCTGATAACAAACAATTTCCTGGTCCGACAGCTAATCAGTTATCTTTCTTAATTGAGTTTTGGTGCCTACAAGAATTGGCTATAAATCCCTTTAGTTGTGGTGACATAAACAAGTCAAAATCAAATTTTGTCCACTTACACTTTTCCTAATTTGCTGTACTGTGTCTGTTGCATACAAAAGGTACAAATATAAGCGTGCCCCGATGGATCCTGCTATGTCCTTCTATTGAGAAGACACTAGTGCCTCATCATATATCTTTTTGAATTGGGTGGAACTACACATTTTCCACCACTTCGGATGTTCGATTCATGGAAATGAATCAGCACAAAATTAGGGTAGGAAAAGGGTGAGCATTAAACCCAATAATATAATGATGAGTTTCAACATCAAAATATCTATATAATAACTATGTAAAAGCACGTTTTTCTTGTCCAGAGCTCGCAGAGAGTTAGTAAAGGCAGAAAGGGGGGGAAAAGAAACAAAGAAATGAAGAGTAGTTCAGTTTGCTGTGTGGCCAAGAATAGGGCTTATGTTGCAATGATCTTCACTCAGTTTGTGTATGCAGGCATGGCTTTGTTGTCCAAAGCTGCAATAGCCAACGGAATGAACCCCTACGTGTTTGTTGTTTACCGGCAAGCTTTCGCGTCGCTTGCCCTGTCTCCATTCGCATTCTTCGACTGGTTCTTCGCCATTGCTTTTTCATATTTTTGGCATCTCCATTATTGACAAATCATTTTACCTAACTCAAACTAACAATTTTGTTTATCTCCTAAATCTGCAGTAAACAAGGTGCTCCCTTGTCATACAACTTGCTGAGCAAAATCTTTCTTGTTTCCCTAGTTGGGTACGCATCTGCTTTTATTCTGAATTATTAAGTCTGTTTAGTCTTAATCATTCAAAATTGATCAAAAAGTCTTAATCTTTGAAAATTGATCTTTTTCCCACTGTCAAAGCCAAATAATATCAGAACGATAGCTTGTGGAAAGATCTAATGAGTACTATATATGCTTTTATCAGGCAAGTAAAAAGACAGAAATATACAGATTACAAAATATATTTTCTAATTATCCAATATGTCTTTGCATGCTTATTCAGGTTAACACTAAGTTCCAATCTTTACTATGTTGCAATCAACTATACGTCTGCAACATTTGCTGCAGCCACTACAAACACCATCCCTGCCATTACTTTCATCATGGCCCTTACAATCAGGTAAGTGAGACTTATTCATCTATCAAACAGTAATATGCGTAGTGTGTGTATTCCTGCTTTGGTCATCTAAGCTGAAAAAAAAAGTGTCTGGTTTTAAAATGTCAGGGTGGAAAGCATTTCCGTGAAGCATATGCATGGGATTGCCAAGATTTTGGGTTCTGTTTTGAGCCTTTGTGGGGCAATAACATTTGCTTTGGTCAAAGGACCTTCAATAGCTTTCATAAATTGGCATACCTCAAATCAGCAGAATGTTTCTCATTCAATAGCAGCACTTCACTCTAAAGGAGATCAAATTAAAGGAGTTATTATGATGCTCTCTGCAAACACTGCTTGGTCTTTGTGGCTTATTTTGCAGGTATGTTAGATCAAATAAAGTGTTGCTCTAAGGTCGATATTCAACATCTCAAGAGCATATGATGGATATATAATATTACCTCCGGTCCTAATTATAAAAGCTAGTTGACTAATTTGAGGATATTAAAAAAATAAGTTAAGTTAGTTATTTATAATAAATACGTGTTGTCTTTCCTAAAATGTCTTTGCTAATCAAGTGTACTGACTAGAACTACAATTATTAAAAGAACTACCTTGAAAAAAATGTATAATTATTAGAGACAAAGTGGATTGGAGTATTATATTTAGGATCAAAATAAAAGTCAAACAAGATCTTATATTAAAGACAGAGGTAGTATATTCCTTCTGAGTGAGCTTGTGCTCAAATTTATTTGTTTCAGGGATTTATTGTAAAGGAATACCCTGCAAAATTTCGCCTCACTACCCTGCAGTGCTTCTTCAGCTGCATACAGACGATTGTTTTGGCTGTCACAGCGGAAAGGAATCCTTCAGCGTGGAAGCTTGGATGGGACATTCATCTACTTTCTGTGGCTTATTGTGTATGCTTTTATGCCATCCTTGTGTTTACATTTAGCTAATGTTTAACTAGGTATGTTGAATTTAGACCCCACTTTATCTATAAGATTGTATAATACCAAGTCAAAAGAACATCTGCCACAAGTTTCTCTTTTCTATTTACAGAAATTAAATGTGTTCTTTCTAAAGATGGCTAATAATGTGTTGCCTAGACTATTGTGGACAATTGGTTATCTATCTCATATCTCTTCAAATCAGTGACCAAAATGCTCTGTTACGCTTTACAGTGTAGTGCAAAACGTCAAATTATCATTTTGAGCCACAGTGGATGCATTTTTCTCCAAGGAAATAGGAGAACGTCATTTTCGTAGCCCATTGTTTCTAAGTCATGTCATCTAACAGTCATTATTATGACAGGAAATATACGGTTTGATTTTTCTTAATCTTGTTACAGAACATAACTCATTTAAATTCTTATGATCTAATCGATCTAACTAGTTTTTTTTTTTCAATTAAATTTTCATTTAATATCTTTCTTAATTTATATGCATATGCCCTTTAAACCAATTATAGAGTAATAAATTTGATATCAGTGTGAGAGATATATACGAACTCACTAGAAACTGGATTCACTCTTTGCTTAGCATTAGCGTTAATTGATACTAATTAGAGCTGACTTTTTTTATGATTTACTGATTGTTTAGGGTGAAGTTAAATAAGAACAACATCACTTTAAATGCCTTGTTATAACATACTTCCAAATTAATCCGTTGTCATTATTTCAGGGTGTGATTGTGACAGGAATTACGTATTGGCTGCAAGTTTGCACTGTAGAGGAGAAAGGCGCAGTATTCACAGCCATGTTTACTCCTCTGGCCCTCATAATCACTGCCATCTTCTCTGCACTTTTTTGGAGAGAATCACTTCACTGGGGAAGGTCCATACATATATTCCTTAACATTATAAGAATTTGATGCTTTTATTTTTGGTTTATTACTTACCAAATTCTCCATTAAATTATGATATGTTAAGATTTCTTCTCTTCCGGCAAAAAAGAAAAAAAGAAAAAGAAAAAAGAGAATGTCATCTTGATGTAACATAGTTGAGTTGGATGAAGTTTCAGGAGTGAATTAATTAGAAAAATGATGTGTGGTTCGTTGCTTTAATATATGGCAGTGTGGGGGGAACTATTTTGCTGGTGATTGGACTCTACAGTGTGCTATGGGGAAAGAACAGAGAAACTGAAAAGGTCCAAATAAACCCTGGAAACACCCAACCATCAAAAGATCAGGACACTACATTGGAGTACTCTTCACAGATCTGATGAACTGTTTGGTTTCACAAAAATGAATTAAGAGAAATTTGTCTTTTTGTTAGTGGGTTGATGAAGTCTCTTGTGCTAAGAATATAATGAACATATATATATTAATTCTAAATCTAGTTATTTTGTTAATCAAAATATCTGCATGTATGTAAAGATAGTTTTATGTTGTGTTACAAAATTTTTTATCTATGCTTCATGTCTCTTCTGCTTTCTAATTTGAATTACTGTTAATTATCACTTACGTGTAATGGGGCTTTGGATAAATTATTTACATAAATATATTATTTGATTATTGATTTCGAAACAAAACGAAAGAATGATTCTATCCGCATAAGACATCACATATATAAACCTTCACATGCTTTCTCATACCATTAAGTTTTTTCCAAGCTGCTTAAAATTTTAGTAGTTTAGATGTTAGAAGGCCTCCTAAATGATTTAATTAATTATTGAGCAGATAATATATTTCCGAGTTATAGCCTCATAGGCTTTGTCATTTTTGTAGGAATGATGTCACTGATGACCAAAAGTTGTTTCGAAATATCATCAAGTCGTTTTTTTCCCGCAAGATAATCTTCTGGCACGTAATAATATTTTTAGAGTCATAATCATTACATTAATTTATTAGAATATAACTAAATATTTCAGTTCTTTTTTGTTAGCAGTAATATAATAAGACAACATTCTTTTAACTCGAAAACATTTTTAAGCTTGTAAAATGTTATTTTTAATGATATTTTTGACAAAATTATATGGATACTTACTTTGGAATCTTATTTATATCCTTTAGTTCATTTTACATAATGAATTGGCACTTGAACCATTTGTTCATTGAACAAAGGGAAGTGCCTTTTCCACGTCAGCTGAATCATTACATTAGAATATAACCAAATCTTTCAGTTCTGTTTTGTTAGGAGTAATAAGACAACATTCTTTTAACTTGAAAACATTTTTAAGCTGGTAAAATATTATTTTTAATCATATTTTTGACAAAAATATAGGGATATTTTGGAATCTTATTTATCTGCTTTAGTTCATTGTACATAATGAATTGGCACTTGAACAATTTGTTCACTGAACAGAGGGAAGTGCCTTTTCTACGTTGGATGAATCATATCCATCGATGAGAACCAAACAAACAAGCCGAGCCTTTGTACCTTTTATTAAAATATGAAAATTAAACCATTAACGTACAGCTTGCAAATATGATAACTTTATGATAAATAGCAATAAGTGACTTTCTTAATTGATATTTTGTGTATTCAAAAGTTGCATCTGAACCTATTTATTGTCTTAATAACACAAATAGCTCAAAATCATTGTTTTTCGTATTCTGGTTTAATTTCACCTTAAAAATTACCAAAACACGCGTGGTTTCATCGTAAAGCCACACAGTACTTGTTTCTCCTGTATATTGTTACAATAACTCGCTAGAAGTGCTCCAGACAATACAAGCAACCCTGCGCCATAGACTCCTATATACCAGGCTATATATCAGTTTTGCTTGCATCTAACCAATTAAGCTTTTCTTTGTGCAAATCTCATGAAAAGTGAGTAAAGGCCGAGAGGAAAACAAATAAAAGAAAAATGAGGAGTTTACTCAGGTTGGTGGGCAGATATAAGGCTTATGCTGCGATGATCATCATTCAGATTATTGGCGCAGGCTTGGCTTTGTTATCAAAAGCTGCAATTGCTAAGGGAATGAACCTTTTTGTGTTTGTTGTTTACCGGCAGGCTTTTGCCTTCGTTTCCTTGAGTCCCTTCGCATTTTTTGACCGGTCCTTTTCTTCACTCTTCCTTTTTGTATTCTCAGTTACCTCCATTAACAAATAATCATTTTACCTAGGCTTAAGCTCAATTATCAAGCTTATGTTTTTGTCTTTTATATCTGCAGTAAACAGGATACTTCCTTGACATTCACCGTACTCAGCAAAATCTTTCTCGTTACCTTGGTTGGGTATGAAAGTATCTCTTGTTTTCATCATATATCAATCACGGCTAATTAATCTGTGAACAATCTTGACGACAATTCATCAAACAAGAGTCTTAATCATTATATATATGTCTCTGCACTAATTAACCTTGTGCTGGTGCTTAAATTACATTCAGGTTAACTTTAGCTACAAACTTTTACTGTGCTTCACTGAACTATGTCTCTGCAACATTGGCTTCAGCCTTCGCAAACATTATCCCGGCCGTCACTTTCATCATGGCTGTTATATTCAGGTACGAATATAACTTGTTTGGATTATGGTTTGCAAAAACCGCTTTTATCCCAACTGAACTGAAATTAGAGTAAAACTCAATTAGTATAACTTAATTTACGTTTGGATAGACTTCTATAAATATATCAGTCTGACGAATTTATTTAGATGTATATTGATTGAAAAATCAGTTTTAGAATTTTCAAATTTAAGAAAAAGTTAGAAGCCAAGAGCCAAATGTCAGAAAAAAGTTTTTTCAACTTCAATTACTTGGCCTTCGGAGTAGGGGTTACCTTTCTCAAAAGTCATCCCAAACATATATCTTGAGATTAAACCGACTTCATGGTTTCAAAAAATCAGTAGTTTTTCATGAGATTTAAGCCATGCACAAACTGCTAAAAAATGTCAGGGTGGAAAGCGTTTCCATGAAGCAAATGGATGGGAAAGCCAAGATTGTGGGTTCTATTTTGAGCCTTGGTGGGGCAATAATATTTGCTTTGGTCAAAGGGCCTCCAGTAATGGGTTCCGCAAAGGGGCACGCATCAAATGAGCAGCATAATTCTCATTCACTTGTAGGATCTCACTCTAAAGGAGATCAAATCAAAGGAGTTATTATGATGCTCTCATCAAACGTCACTATGGCTTTGTGGCTTATTTTGCAGGTATATGATATCAATATTAGTCTCATATATATATATATATATATATATATAATTGCTTAATTAGATCAGATACGGTATAGCCAGCTGATGGATTTAAACAGAAATATAGCAAATTAACTAACTTGTTTTCAGGGATTTGTTGTGAAGAAATACCCAGCAAAACTTCGCTTCACAGCTCTACAGTGCTTCTTCTGCTGTACACAAACAGCTGTTTTGGCTGTAATATTGGAGAGGGATCCTTCAGCATGGAAGCTTGGATGGGATCTTAACCTTCTTGCTGTGGCTTACTGTGTATGTTAATCCTGATTATAAATTAATTATGTTATTTTTAATTATATCACTTAATAATTACAAGCAGTAATTAATAATTAACGCGTTGTGGTTTCAGGGGTTGGTTGTAACGGGGGTTTCCTATTGGCTCCAACTGTGCGTTATCGAGGAGAAAGGTGCAGTATTCCCAGCATTGTTCACTCCTCTTGCTTTTATAATCACTGCCATTTTCTCCGCATTTGCCTGGCGGGAGACACTTCACTGGGGAAGGTACATATGTATTTCCTTCTAAGTTTGTTTTTAGAAGATCGATTGCTGTCATTTCATCTACTTTAAGATAAAAACACGTTAAAATTTACTTAAAAATGATGAATTTGTTTGTTGGTTTTAATTTGTTGCAGTGTTGGTGGGATGATTTTGGTGGTGGTTGGACTTTACAGCGTGCTGTGGGGGAAGAACAGAGAAAGTAAAAGGGAACGAAGCCATGAAATTGAAAGCACACGACAGTTAAGAGACGACAATCACACGTCTACATTGGACATTCCCACAACACACAACGCCCCAGTGTCTAGAAGTATAGCACCCTCAACAAAGTAGTTTCTTCTTGTTACATGTGATGGAACCCAAACATGTTCTTATTGTTCTTTTTTGTTTTAATAAAAAAATGTTGTGTTGTTTTGTTATTAATAAGGTGGATATTTTGACGTGTAAATTTATGGCACCTTGAGATATATACTAAAAGTCTATTATATTTCTGCTTATAACTCTCCAATATATATCTGTGTGTGTGTGTGTGCGCACTCTGATCGGAATGATCTGCTAATTTCAATTGTAAATAAGCAATACTTACTTCAAATCAAATTTATACTATTCAATATTTTAAGAATATATTATTTTAAAAGACATAATAGAATGTTAAAAATATTTGATTCCCAAATAAAAAAATAAAATAAAATTTATAATAATGTTTTTGACATTTTTCGAACACAATTTAATTTGAATTTACGTTTAGATTAAAGTAGTTCAAGTTTAGTAAAAACAATCAAGACGCATGCAAAATGAATGAAGACATCCACATTTTTGCATATTTGCTTTCTGTTTCCCTGTTGTAATCAATATTATGTCCGTCCAATCCCCTTGGAGATAAAATCGAAATTTGCATCATGTAAATTTTGTACTCATCCATCTTAAATCTAAAACTTATTTTTTAATATAAATTAAACTGTAAAATGGGTTTTACATTTAGAACTTGAGAAGTATTTTTTATAGTATAAACAAAACCAAACTTATGGCCCCCAACTTATTAGGGAGCTTTCATATCATTAGGTTAAAATGTGATTAACGGTTTATTTTGTTTTAATTATACTACCGGGTGCACTCTAATTTGAATTACTTGTTGATCACAAAGATAAAATGAATAATTTTTGTTCCAAGTGAAAAGTTAAATCATTCAAATTTCTTCATAATTTTTATTCTAATAGAAATTATAGAATATGAAATAAGAATAATCTTTTAGTTGTCTAATTTAATAGAAAATTTAATTTTTTGATGAAATATTGAATGATTA